AAACCAATTCTTCCAAAACTCCCTAATTCTACCATGAAAGAACAAGGTTTAGGACTAGGAATCTAATGGGTGATGATAGAAATTGAAGGAAATGAGTTAAAGAGTACAAACCTATGATTTGGTGTTGAATTCCCCCTTCAAAAATCGCCCTAGGCCGAGTTCGAGGGAAAGAGATATGAAATTTTGAAGAAATCCGTATTGAATTCTGTTTTAAAACACTGGGCAGGCCTTCTTCGCGTTTGCGAAGGGCCTGCTGTGTTCGCGAAGAGCCAGCCTTGTTGGCATACACAATCGCAAAAAGCTGTCCGCGTTCGCGATGGTTTGTCCACCTGGCCATCGCGTTCGCGAGCCAAGGCTCGCATTCGCGTAGAAGAACTTGTAAATCCCAGCCCATCTCCATTTACTCTACGCGTTCGCGTGAGTCGGTCGAGTTCGCGAAGAGCAGACCCCCCAGTGCTCCGCGTTCGCGACCATGGCCTCGCGTTCCATAGAAGAAAAGCCACCCCATCCCATCTTACTCTTCGCGTTCGCGTGAGAAGCTTTGCAAACGCGAAGAAGGAAACCAGCAAGTGCTGAAGCTGCAGAAAATCAGATTTTTCGTAAGTCTAACACATCCCGTAGCCTATCCGAAACTCACCCGAGCCCTCGGGATTCCAAACTAAACATGCACACAGGTCTAAAAACATCATACTGACTTTCTCGCGTGATCAGATCACCAAAATAACACCTAGAACTACGAATTTAGCACCAAATTGAATGAAATTTTCAAGAAAGTTTTAAAACTTCTAACTTCACAACCGGACGTCCGAATCACATCAAACCAACTCCGTTTCTCACCAAATTTCACAGATAAGTCTTAAATATTATAATGAACCTGTACCGGGCTCCGAAACCAAAATACGGACTCGATACTAACAAAATTAAACATTAACCAAATTCTTAAAACCATTAGATTTTCAGTCTTTTAATTTTCAACAAAAATTCAGATCTTGAGCTAGGGACCTCGAAGTTCGATTCCGGACCTACGCCCAGGTCCCATATTTCGATATGGACCCACCGGGACTTTCAAAATACGAGTCCGGGTCCGTTTAACAAAAATGTTGACCGAAGTCAACTAAATCAACTTTTAAAGGAAAAAATTATATTTTCATCAACTTTTAACGTAGAAGATTTTCCGGTAACATGCCCGGATTGTGCACACAAATTGAGGAGGGATAAAATGAGGTTTTTAAGGCCTTGAAACACAGAATTTAGTTTTAAATCATAATATGACCTTTTGGGTCATCACAGGAACCATGGCGTAACTAGTAAAGTTGCTGCCATGTGACCAGGAGGTCACGGGTTCAAGTCCTGGAAACAGCCTCTTGCAGAAATATAGGATAAGGCTGCGTACTATAGACCCTTGTTGTCCGGTCCTTTTCCAAACCCCGCGCATAGAGGGAGCTTAGTGCACCGGGCTGCCCTTTATTGTGGATATTAATTTTTATTGGCTTTTATGTTAGTTGTTGGTCTGTTTGCCTATTTAGTAACTTGAGTTGGAATGAAAATTTGAGAATTCATTATACATTAGCTGGCCATTTGGGAGATAGTCAAATGTTAAAATTAGGCATTTTCGTGACTATGGCTACGGTTCCTGTGGCATAGTCATGATACGTAAATCCCAACTCAAGTGCGCGTTTCACGCGACTTGACCATAACTTCAAATAATAATAATAATAATAATAATAATAAACATATTGTAAATCGCGGGTGCGTTTCACGTGGAGCGGTTTGCAATGCGTACCAAAACGACAAGTGTACGACACCGTAACTTGTTCAAATAATAATTCCATAAATACTAAAAGCGTTTAAATATTTTATTAAAAGCGGTATAGAAGCGGTAACACATAAAAGGTTTTAAACATGTAATAAATCAGATTATTAGGCCAATTATTAATAGTTGAGTGACCCTGCTAAAACCATGAAACTCGGGAGTGCCTCACACCTTCTCCCGAGTTAACAGAATTCCTTACCCGGTCTTCTGTGTTCGTGGACCGTAAAAATAGAGTCAATTTTCTCGATTTGGGATTTTAAAATAAATCGGTGACTTGGGAAACCATATTAACTATCCCAAGTGGCGACTCTAATTAAATAAATAATCACATTTCGATTAATATCACTTTAATTGGAAAAACTCCCTATTCTTCGGAAAAAGGAGGCATGACAGTCATTGCTTAGTACCACGTTATTATTGCACCATGGTGGCCTGACTCAGCGTCAACATTCAAGTGCGCGGACTGAGAATTTGACATTTTAAATAGACCTGAAACCAAAACTTCAAAGAGCAAGCATAAAATAGGGCGTGTTATGGAGATTCGTTAAATCGCCACTATTATCCTTAGCCCCACAGTGGCCGCCAAACTGTGTATCCTTAAAATAAGTAACAATTGAATTTGTACACAATTTAAAGGATACTTGATTTAATTTAACATGAATGATCAATGAACAAAAAATAATTAAATTAAAGAGAAACAAAACGATCAAACCAAACGTGATAGACAATTAAGCCTGGCTTAAGATGAACACTGAAAATCAGTCGAGCCCTAAAGACGGGCCCGGTTGCAACTAAATAAATAAGCAGCCGAAGAACACTTTGAACAGTAGCTAGAGAACAAAAATAAACTTTATTGCTTTAATATGTGTGTCCACCGTATATGAAAAAAAAGAACAAGTTTTCCCCTTTATATAGTAGGGGAGTTTCAATCCTAGTATAAGTCTAAATAAGGTAGAAATCTTTTCTCTTCTAGTAGGTCATGTTATGCAACTGACATCGGGCGAGATTTGTGCCTTAGTATCCGGTTGAGGGAGGATATGTCGGCCCCTTGTTTGTCCTTTCTAAACCTCTTTCCTTTAGCCTTGATTCTTCGTTTTGCTCGAGCTCGATTCCCTGCATATTCAGTCATGTCCGAATTTAGGTGTATCATGCGTCCTCGGGCTCTGATCTGGGGAACCCTTGGCTATACCCGGCCTGCAACGAACCACGTCATCCCCTGTTTCTTCATCAAAAAATCGAGGATATTCATCCCCGATTTTACCCGTATACAAACTATAAGGACCAACAAATCATGCATTGTAAGAACACGCATAAGAAATTAGAAATATGATTGAATTTTGGAAAATAAAAATAGCTCTCATAACATTGGGACCGGGATGAGCTTAAATTATGAATTGATATGGACGGTGATGATTTATATAAGGGAAAATACATAAGATGCATCCTATACTTGTCCGAAAAAATCAATTCCACACTGAACCTTTACGGATTTCCTATTACCATCCTATCCTTGTCCAAAGTGAATTGAATAACACCTTATAAAGCATAATACCACTTTCGTGGTATGAGGTATTGCACATAAGCGTGTCACATCAGCGCCATGTCAAAAGTACAATAAATTAATTTTTTAAATTATTTTTCCTTTTTCATTCACACATTTTTCCTTTTTTCTTCCATAGCTACCACCAAAACCTTCATTACCAACGGGCTTCTTGCGGCGTGATGCTTCTTTCTTTTGTTTTAATTTCTTTTGGTTTACAAGTTCAATTATTATGAAATTAACAGCAAATTTGTATTAGTGGTATTTGGACCAAAACCCATAGGGGTCGCTTGGTTGGATGCATTAGGTAAAATAATGTATGCATTAGCTTTGTGAATTAATAATACCTTGTTTGGTAGACATTTTGAACCTATGCATTAGTTATGCAAGCATTAGTTATACATCCTATTTGGTATTATACTATGCATAACTAATGCATAGAAAACCATGGTATTAGTAATGCAATGGGTTCTAATGCATGCATTAGCTTAGTTAAAGATAAAATTGCCCTTCAAAATTTATGCTTGATTAAAATATGCTAGTTATTATATTAATGCAAGTTTAAAATAATCCAAATATTGAGAAATAAAATTATATCTCTAGTAAACAAATAAATACTTAGCATATATACTTTTTATAAATAAATATTTAGTTCTATATTATAATATAGGTAGACAAATCAAATAATTTTTTTTAAACTTCTTCATATAAAAACATTTCTCAACATATGTTTCTTTTAAAAAGTTAGAGTGATGGACTGGTTTTGAGGGCATTTTTGTAAACAAGCAATTCTTTTAGAAATTGTGCAATGCTTTAATACATCAAACCAAACAATGGATAAGAAATATGTCAGCATAACTAATATCAGCATAACTAATACCAGCATTACTAATACACCCTATTCAGCATTATTTTATGCACCCTACCAAACGACCCCATACTGCACAAACGTATTTCAAGACCATCAACCAAAACGCCACCATCAACTTCATCGATGGAGTGTGCATTTTTAGGCACCAATTTTTAGGCAGAATAATTGATAATAATCAACTTGGTGGAGTTTGCTTAATATTGAGTCTTTACTCTGTTTTGCATCTCAGTTGAATCCTTTTCAAAAATGATGTGACCGTATGTGTTTTGTCAGTTGGAGTAACTCTCTGAAATACCGGGACATTCTTGAACTCGAGAATTTTTCTCCACACATGTTCAAGCAACTCTTGGATCTGTCAAGGCATTCTTAAACTTTAGGGATGTTTCATGCGTGTCTTAATTGTGAGGATGTTTGGGTAAACTTATATGAAAAAGAAATGGGTGTAAAGATGAAGAAGAAAGGCAAATGGAGAAGAAAGAAGTAGGTGTTGAGATGGAGAAGAAAGAAGGGGGGGG